CCCCCCCCGAAAAACCCCTTTTCTCCCTATTTAACAATCCCATCCCCCTTCTTTTTCCACAACTGCACTCTCCATAAAGGACAAGGCACGAAGAGGAGAAAAACATTAATACCCATCCATCCCAGATTGCTCGTACGTCATGTGTTGACCGTGAACTTCGAGAGTCGAAAAATTCAAAGCCAGCCGACAATATCGTTTTACTACATGATGCATTTCTAAATGATCACCAAGCTATACATAGATTCTAATTATGCTGTTATTATTTGGCGTTGAGTAAATGCATAAACATTATGTGAGTGAACATTCAATGACTTTTTTCGTTTTCTTCTCTTGTGTGTATTATCATTGTAGTAGATGCAGATTAAATTTAATTGAGTTTGTTGTCAAGTTATCGATGATGTAAAAAGAAAATGTTGGCTTGTCTTATTAAATTTGTTTATAAATATAATTGAAAGTGTGTTTTTACCCAAACCTTGAAGAATTAAAAAGACAATTGAAAAATGCAACCACCGTTTCTCTTCTTTTCCCATTAAAATAATCTGAGTCTGTTTCCAGTAGGGCCGATATATTGCGAATCTCGGCCGTCGTGAATGCTTTCGTTTAGAAACATAGCAATAATATAATGACGTCAGCTGGCAACTTCAGAAAACATATTAGCCTATGTATACAAACTACATTATACATGTATTAAGGAGAAACAAGCCATGTTGTTCATAGGTTTTGTATTGTTGTGACGCTTTCAACACTGGTAGGTAATATTACTAATAAAGGAGTCGGGGCCTACACATTTACAACCATACCCGACAGTGCTAAGTGATTGAGAGTCTTGATATCACATCTAATAACTCGTGTCCAAGAACGCCCTGTGTAAGTGATACAAACCAAGATCATGCGCGCTATAGATCTACAGCCCAGCTCAGCCAAGTTCCAATAAATGTGTGTACAACGCTCCTGGTTTTTTTCTGTTTGTTTGTTTGTTCGTTTGTTGTTGTTTGTTTTTTTGTTGTTATGTTTTGTTGTTGTTGTTGATGTTGTTTTTGTTTTGTTTATTTGTTTCGTTTTTTAGGTTTTTTTTAGGGGGGAGGGTCGATTATTCTTACTTCAGTTCTCCAGGGGATACCCCCGTTCGAGGTTATGTTCTTTTGTTTAAACTCAAAAGACTTGAGTTCAGTTCCAATGTGAGAAGGAAATTTCATCAAATACTGTACCAGTACCTCCATCTTTCTGTTGGGATGTATCCACACTCTGTACACACCTTGGTTATACATGTACATAAAATAGTATGTAGTAGTAAAGGGAAAGAAGAAAAAAAAAACGCACACACCTAGCCTTGGCCTAACCATACATTATGACGAGTGACGAGGTTCCACTGGGACAGCGCACTACGCTCACCACTTAGCCTCGACCCCCGCGATATGTTCAACGTCCTCTCACAAAGACACGTGGATGAGCTGACATGAAGAGTAAGGACATGGATCGTATTGCAGACTATAATGACGTACATCTCAAATTCACTCCCAACTGGTTAGTTTGAGTGCACGGTTCAGATCGCATTGTCATATTATTCGCAAAGTGCCGCGTGACCAGAAATTTGCCCATTCCTTCCGCTGAAGTATCCACGGTATGAAAATGATATAGGTACCATTTCGGCATACATGTACAACATTATAACAGGCTATATGACATAAGCTAATGTAGACAGCCTTGGGACGGGTGAGGTACGAACGGTGGTGAAAGAAAGGGAGAGGGGGTGGAGTCCGTTTTATTAGAAACAGAAATTTTGTTTTCCTATGGGACACAGATGCACTATTACATTACATCATCATCATCATCATCATCATCATCATCATCATCATCATCATCATCATCATCATCATCAAAGCTCTTTGCCGTTGGCAGATATGGCCCAATCCTTTTCTGTCTTGGGCAGGCTTTCCTAACTGCCCCCAGCTGTGTCCCAATTTCAACATAATACATCATATTATTAGGCCCATATATATCCTTTTCCACGTTACATTTCCTTGTCTCCCGTAGCCGAGGATACCGGAACTATATATTTTCGGATGCCTTGCCTGTAGTCTACCACGGACACATACATGCCGTGTTTGTCTGACTGGTGATGTGGGTTTTTTTTGCTTTTTTTGGAAAGTTTGTCCAATCCAGCGTTATCGATGTACAGTACATAGCCCAATCTCGTCTCCAACTTATACAGACCCCTGTGCTGCCCCCCCCCCCCCCCCCCCCCATTTCTTCTTTTTCTGAATGTCTTGCCATCCAACCTTGAGGATGTACCGGAGATATCTATTGATAAATCAATGTTTGAACTTTGTTAGAAAGGGAACCAGTTTAAGCCTTCCATTTTCTACAGTCATACAGCATATCTAGCAGCACTGGCTTTATATTTGAATTTAGAAGTCTGATTTTCTGGGATATGACATATACAGATCTGTGGGTCATGCAATTCAAACAAAATGTGACACATAGGCCTATTATATGCAGATATACGGAATCAATAAAACCATATAAACAAAATACAAAAGTAACATTGATGGTAGTAACGTACCTAGTGCAACACCCTTTTCGGTTTTCATTTATGATAGTAGGCTATTATAAAAAGGGTCTAATGATATTTGCACAAGGGAATGCCTTCAAATATTCTTTTAAAATCGTGACTATGCCTTCGATGATGAAAATAGGTTAAAAGTTTGTTTTGCAAATTCAACCACTCGCAATAGGCATATATAAAAATGTGCAGTAGACCTTTATACAGTGCGGTAAAAAATTCGTGGCGCAACTTATTGTCAAATATTTTCTCGACAATCGAGCACAGGTATATACACTCCAGCTTTTGCACAATGACTTGTAACAATATTTTTGTAAACACCTGTTAGCTGTATTCTAGAAAATTACTGAAATGTGTGGTTTCCACAGCTTTTAAAAGTTTTACAGCAGCAGGCAATTATCTGTTTTAAAAAAGCAAGTCCGTCATTTTTTTCTAATCGCGACAATTTTAATATGCTTATTGAGCGCATGTTTTGAGAACCTATAGCTAGTGCAAAAAAAGATGTTCTCAATATAATTAATTTCTTGTAACAAATTGTGACACCCAAAAATTATCTTTGGTTATCAGTGACGCGGGCCATACTCTAAGTGCGTATACATGCAAAATGTGTTTCAGAAAAGTGCTGTGAGCTGAGAAGACGCTCAGCAGACATGGTGCGATATAGGCTATGAGATCTTTCATCGCCGCCTACATACATAAGCCTAGGATTCCCACAATATCCTGACATTGTGCACTCACCATCACACAGCGTCCACTACTACTCAATACAACCCCTGCTCAATTCCTATTATTTACGAAGGACAGTTACAGTTGTGATATTCATTTTTATCTTCATGAAATATTGACAGGATACACCAAGTTCATTTCCCCTATATCATAAGTTAAATTCGAGCTGCATTGCCAACATCGCCAATGTTTCACCCAAGGTTCTGTTTCTTGTTTAGGCCGACTGTTTACAGTTTACAGTCCCCAGCCCCAGTCAGCTGACAAGTGACAATCAAGAGCAGAAAGATCACGTGGTCTTTACTCATGATTTGACCTATTTTCCCCGCGACTACTTTATCGATACCAATTATTGTCAATTTGCCAAAGATTGTACGATCTTTGACTAGGCCTACAATCTTTGTTTTGTAACATTGGTGATTAGCCCAGGCCAAGCAAGAAGCATTGTACAGTAGATACAATACTTTATAGTGCACGGATTCTTTCAGTTGACGTGTTGAAAGTCACGAACCATGTCCTCATTGTTTCATAGTTAACTTATCAAGACAAAGATCGTGTACACATTTTGATCAAGATGTGCCTCTTACAGCCCGCTATAGATCTAGTTTTTAAAAAAACCCAACAAATTAGTGTTCTATCTGTCTCTTGACCGACAACACCGATACACCAAAAAGGTCATCACCAGCTCAAGTTACTAGGCACCGTCACATTATTTATATAGATCTAGGCCATAGAGAGATACATGTAGGCCTACAATGGACGTTGAGGAGTAAAATTATGGCCTTCTTTGACAATTGGATGTCATCTATCTCTCTCTCTCTCTCTCTCTCTCTCTCTCTCTCTCTCTCTCTCTCTCTCTCTCTGTGTGTGTGTGTGTGTGTGTGTGTGTGTGTGTGTGTGTGTGTGTGTGTGTGTGTGTATACAGTATGAGACAGACAGACAGCGATGCACAAAGGCTAAATGACTAATTGGAATGACCTTTTAATTTTTAGCGATGAAAAGTTAGAGAAAGAAAAGGGAGCCTGGAGATAACAACAGTTTTCTTCACAATGCTGAAGAACTATAAGATCTAGATGAATTCAACAAAGGTAACTAAAATAAACTGTGCTTTGAGTATTATACCAAAGACCTCATTCTGTTTTTATAGCAGCAGCGACATAATTATTGATTATATCAAGGACCCCAAAACCTCCTTGGCCAACAGGTACACATGTACCGAAGATAAAGATCGGTATTTAGGATACCAATATCAAAGATAGTACATAACAAGATGGGCCACTCAGCCAAAAAAGTGTCCGCAGGAAATATGCTCTTTGCTTCAGATGGCGCTGCAGTCTGTTTTGAAGCTCTCTTTCGTTTTTCCAGAAGAAGAATAGGAATAGCACCTCCTTGTGTGCGCAGATCACAGAATTCTACACTTAAGTGTAGAATTCTGTGGCGCAGATCGACTGCTGTTTATCAGCAGTTCGGGTTCGTTCAGTGTGGAGTTTTAGGTTCTTTTTATTTTAATGACCTCTCGCCTTTCATACTAAAGTCAAATTAAACGAAGAAAACAATCACCCTTTCCTCCGGAAGAGGTTTTTTGTCAGCGTTACCATTTTAAAAAAGCGTTCTTCCGAAATTCATTCAAAAACTTGCTAGTTTCACTTTGATTTTTTAAACTCAAGTAGGATAGCTCTGTTCGCTAAAGGTGCGCTTTTGCGAAGAGGGCGCCACCGAATTTTGAGGACACTTTTTTAATTGGCTCAAAGAGAGAAGTGGCCCCTCTTGTTATGTAGACTCTTTGCCAATATTGAGTGACTCGAATACAAAATATCGATGTTCACTTAGTAGAAAAAAATCCTTGTTCGAGTCCGAGTTTGTTGATGAAGACTTGATGAAGACCAACTGAAGCTTAGTAGCTTAGTTCCTTCTTGTGTAACTGTGTCGAGAACCTTTGTTTTCAACTTATAATACTTGTTCCGTGGTAGAGACCGTACACTCACACAAGAGTGTAATCCAGTAGAGCAGAAAACTCATAGATTTGATCTAAAATGGAAGTCAACTTGTTTCGATGGAGCTTTCTTTCCCTGACGTTACTGTTTGGGGCTTGTCTTGGAACTGTGTGGCATCAGCCACAACAAACACACATAGCCGCTGGAGGTGAGCATTGTGGCGGTGATCAGCATCACTATCATTCATAGTATAGACTAGATCTAGATCTATAGAATCTAGTAGAAGCCTTTATTTGTATTTTGTAATTTTAGCGATTTTTAACTTGATTTTTCCACACATTGAAGTTGACGTATCTGATATCAGATAGATCTAGATCTAGATCTAGATCTAGTCTGGTCTTATTCAATGCCTGCGGTGTTTCAAATTCAGTGTCCACAAAGTTGGTTGTTAAGTTTAGGCATTCATTGACAGGCCTATTTATTGATGTTTGTTTTGATTTTGAGAGTCTGTCCAACTGAGTCAAAGAGAGTCAACGTTCAGTCTTGTTGTACCCTAGATTATTGCCTTATATTATCGAAGTGACTATTTCATTTTCTCCGAACGTTCGGAGGAATAGTGCCGATCTTTATTTCTCCGAACGGTTTCCGGCTTCCGGTCTCGTGATTTTTTGCCTATTTATCGCGAGAGTTCGGCGCCAACTTTCATTCTGCCTCTGGTCTGGAACTGGGAAGGAACACCGCATGGCAAGCCCGCCTACAGACAACCTTCTTTAACACCCACCACACTCCCACCACCATCATGCACATGTACACACACAAACTTATTATACACACACTAACTAAACATGATCAGTGGGCAAATTTTGAACGTATGACGAGCTGAGCTGTGGATGGAGAGACTGTGAGTGACAGAGCAGGTGAAAGGAAGAATGTACGAGTGTATCCACAGGCGACAGCAACTACAAGGGGACGACACCGACCCCCCTGGCCTGGACCACAGCTCACGAACAAAAGGAGTGGGGCTAAGGCACTGTTTTGCTAATATTATTGTCCATGGTTCGCAGGGTGGCAAGGGAACGAATGAGATTTTCTTTGTGTGTGCCTGGAGGGAGGGGGTGGGGTGTGAAAGTCATGTGGACGGAGATGAGCCGCGGGAGAGAACACGGGAATTGAATGAATGAGTGAAACTGAAAGAGAGGAACAACTCATGAGCCCTGGAGTGAATGGATCCTGTGTTTCTATTTTTGTATACTTTGAACTGTTACTGTTACTGAATAAAGGCTGAAATAAAGCCCGAAAAACAGACACACACACGATCCTCACTCTCCACTTACACACTTACTACCACACACAGACACACTCACACATGCATACACACACATACACAGGAGCAAATTTTTAGGTCTAGATCTATATCTATTTCAATTTTCAAGAGCTAGTCTAGAGATTTTTAGACGGAATGAAATCAAAATTAGAACAGCCCATAAACAACCACAAATATTAACAAATAAGGGCGTGAGTCCACCTGTCCGAAGAAGATTGGCTGTTTTAACTACTTAATGTGCGTAATTTTAAAACAAAGTACAGGATATTGCTTGTAAATTATGGAATCACACACATTAAGGGGCCTGCCAGTGTCAGTACATGTAATCGGTTTTGGTGGAACGTACGCTCTAACATAACACATTTAAATCTATATATATATACATGTATATACAACATCCCCCTGGCCCCCCCTTTTTTTCCCCAACAAAAAAAAAATTGATAGAAAAACAACACATCAAAACAATAACAAGAAAGAAAATAATACACACTAACAAAATAAAACACCACAAAGAGGAAAAAATAAAAGTAACTGTAACGTATTCAACAAATAAACGTGGTGACAAGTGAGAAAGAGACGAAGTGAAGCTAGGTGAACTTTCTTTCAAAAGTAAAGAGGTCCGGTTTCTTTCTTTTTTTTTTATAATTTGACTTTTATTCCCCGATTCGGGGACCAAAAAATGCCAAAAAATCGAGCCACGACTGATTGGTCGCGGCCGCGACAAACGCGGATGCTAGTTTTATGTGTCGTTATCAATAACCCTCCGTAGATCTAGATCTAGATCTAAACAGCACACGAGTGAACACAACACATTTTATTAAGCTTAAAAGCAGCACCCTTCATAGGCATATCTCTAGCGAAAAACTGTTTGGAACTGTAGCATTTCTTTATATAAATATTTACTGCGGACATTTTTTGGACCGATTGAACCATATTGTATACGAACAATCTTTGGTAGGCCTATACTATTATTATAGATCTATATAATATCCGAAATTTGCGGGAAAGGATGTGATTTAAGAGTGTTCGGAGAAATAGTGCCCAGCTTTATTTTCCCGAACGTTCGGAGAAATAGTGCCTAGCTTTATTTTCCCGAACGTTCGGAGAAATGGTGCCGGCCTTATATTATAGAACGAAGTGGCTATAAGTACGGCTAGACTGAGAGTACGGCTAGACTGCCAGTCTAGCCGTACTTAGATCTAGGCTTGGCCCTATCGACTCAAGCCTGTTAAGTACACAGGTCTCATTAAATCTAGATCTAGTAATTATTCAGGTTCAAATACATGCAAGTCAGTAAGGCACCTTTTGGTTTTGTCTGAAATACAAATACTTTAGGCATTGCAAACTAAAAATTTTATTTACAATTCAGCCATCAATATTAAGTACGGCTAGCCTGACAGTCTAGCCGTCCTTAAGTACGGCTTGACTGCCAGGCTTGGCGTACTTATCTTAGGCCCAATTAACATTAGAAAACAGGAGGTTTAAAATAGAAGCACTGTCCTTAAGGCACCTGGTTTCGTCTCAAATATAAATACTTTTGGTACTGCACTCTAAAAATTTACATTTACAATTCAGTAGGCCTATTTTTTTTAAATGGTCAGTCTAGCCATCATATTTAGAATAAGTACGGCCAGTCAAGCCATCATTAAGTACGACTAGCCTCTTCCATTATAGAACTCTAGATCTAGATCTAGCTGAACGGACTCAGTGTAACAGAAGGAAGTGGTATATTCTCACCTATATGTCTCGCTATTCTCACCCCCTTTGTTTTACCGGAAATTGCCCTAGAGGGATCAGGGCTGAGGTTACCGGGGCTGGTGCTCCGCAGGACAGTATCGTGTTTGTGTCTGAATAGTCACGGTCAGGGATGTCAGTTTGGTCCCAGAAATTTGACTCTTTTGGATCTCGTCTGACCCGGAGAATTTCCTTTGGCTCTCTTGCTCTTTTTTGGCTCCAAACTCCAAATGTTCAAGAGGAAGGGGAAAGAAGAGGCAAGAAGAAAAGAAAAAGAAAGAATAAAATAATAAATGGTATCCACAGCAAATTTGAGTGGGCTATAAATGTTTTTATTAGACTATGATTAGAGGCCCAATTGCGTAGTAATATACCTGGGGGGGGGGGGGGGGGGGGCTCCAGTGGCTAAGTCAAGTGAGTAGTGAGTGTGGCTAGTTGGTGGATGGTTTGGTGTGATTTGCTCCTTCTTCCTTATCAAAGGTAGATCTATAGTAACATCTACTGTAACACCTCTAATCTTTGGCACTTATATGACGTTATCGTGTTGCAAGTGCTGTAAAACTATTTCTAAAGAAAAGAAAAAAGTAGTGAGTTCAGACTCAATAAATGTCAAACAAGTGTCATTGTCCACTGGGGTGTGTGTCCTTGAGCAAGTCATCACAACCCTAGCTAAAAAAACAGGGCGCTGCACAGTGGCGACCAGCAACGGCATGGTTGTGAAATCAAATTGTTGAACTGTATTTGATGTCATTATTATATATTGTTTATTAATACACATAGTTATTTATGTATCTACGTATCATGGCATACATAAATTATAATATGTATTTATGTGTATGTATTCTTTGTATTAATACACATTTAATGTTCGTATGTAATGAAAAGATTTCAGTGTTCTGCCAGTTTTGCATTATACATATGGTAGATGCATTCTGAAGCAAAGGCAGACAGACACAGCTGGTGTGGGCCCATTGCATGGGAAGATCAAAACCATTTCTTAGTACTTTTAAATGCCAATTTAAAAATTACTCTCTGTCTTCTCTTGTTTTTTTTTGTTGGCAATAAATTGCTCCTCAAGCTTGTCTTTTCCATTGTTGGGAAATAAAATACATAAACAGTTCTTGTTATATATATATATACATATATCAATCAACAGTGAACTTGAAAATCATGTAGGAGAATGGATTTCAAGCTTTAAACATTATCAGTGTAATTATTTAACACACAATGTTCAATTGATAAGGGTAAATCGCTTTGGAGATTTCTGAGGACATCAGTGAAATACATCAGTGATAATTGTTGTGACTGCCTTGTTGAAGTTTCAGCTGAGATACAGCCTCACTATCTTATAACTGTGTTGACACAGGTCAAAGGCTCTGATGTTTGTAAATGTTTGTAGGGTAACATTGTGGTGAAACCAGGCGCTCGTCAAAATAATGAAATAGAAGCCAACATCCTTCTGCCCAGTGGGCAATTTTGATCAAATTGTTAGTATTCAACATAAAACCTTTTATAATGCCCATTTAAGAACACATTTCTACCTGAATTTAATTGGAAAACGTTGATCAAAGGCACCAATTAACGTACGTTTGCAGTTTCAAAGGACACTACAGCTTTGGGAGTCACCAAAGTTTGACCATGCTCTTGCTAATTTTACTTTATTCCGGGTGACCCCCACCTCCTTCAAACAAAAATCTTGACCTCTATTCAAGATGGATGGGTATTGCGTTCTAAAGCAAGCAAACGAACTAGTCTGAAGATTTTACTGATAATTTCAAATGCTCAAATATTGACGAGCGCATGATTCCACCGCATCGTGACACACTTATTCGATGACTGTCAGGTCCAATGTTTGTTTCACCAAGCTGGACAACAACTTGACTATTTTTTATCACCTGATACAGACATGTGCTGCTGTAACTCTGAATGTGATAAAACTTATCTGATTTGTTTATCAAACTGAAAGGAATGAAGATAAATAACAAAGGCTGTCTAATTTTAGACCTCATATCACACCTGGAAATGGTTTATGGGTTGTTGTTTTTTATTAAATATAATACTGAAATACAGTCTCCAGTGGACACTGACTGTTACAATAGCTAAGTTTTATACAATTTGTGATGAGTTAAAATAGGAATTGGTAGATGGAAGATCTACAGGATAATAATATTTTTATTGATCTTTCATTGAAACATATTTTTCTTTGATGAGTAGTCACAGTGCCTTCATGAACTTCCGCATCTCAAAATATATATCCATAATATACATTCTACTACTATAGTGTGTTTGTTCCCATACACATTCACATTCACGCACACACACACACCACACACCCACCCCCACATCCACACACACACACACACACACACACACATCAACACACACACACACATCACACACCCACACACACACACACACACACACACACACACACACACACACACACACACACACACACACACACACCCACACACACACCCACACACACACAAACGATCACATTCTAATCCACTTCTTCCCGGACTTAAATCAGACAGCGAAAAAAAAAAAAAAAATCCACAAAAAACCCCAAACCAACAGCTCACTAAAATGGAAATCAATTTCTGCCCGACCCGTGGAAAGTGAAGTGAGGGGAAAAAGAAAGGACAGGTTCCTCGTTCCTCGTAAACACATTATCTGTCCCTACTTATGCTGCTATAATATGTGTACAGGGGGGG